AAAAAAAAAAAAGACAAATACGTGAAGGATAAACCACAAAAGTGCGTCCATCCACTCCACCAGCTTTCTGAGCCAGAGGGGCTGGGGTGGGGGAGTCAGTGTGCATTTGTAATTGCTGATAAGGTCATCCCAAGTGAGACGAGTTGGCACTATTTCTGTATGGTCAGAATGTACAAGGCGCCTCACTGACCAAGGGGAGAACTCCGTGGGGGGGGACCCACAGAGCACAGGGATTTATCTCGTACAAGAATTCTTCATTAATCACTGATAATGCGATTTTTGAGACAGCTCATTTGGATTTCGTTCTGTTTGTTTTAGAATCCTGCTTGTTGGATTGAAGAGACAGCTCATTTAACTTCAATTTGGTCTGACAGATATATTATACGACTTGCCACAAACCAAGCAGTTTGACAGTTATTGAGATGCCAAGATGATCCTTAGCATTGAGAATGAAAGAATTAACTGAAAATGCAATCAATTCTACCAAAATCATCCCCCCCAAAAGGGGGTTTCCTTCTTGAAAACACAAGAGTATTCTGACCACGAGAAGCATAATATCAGCAGCAGTGCCTGTGAAATTGGCATCATACGTCAGTTCCTGCAGTTCTTCTCAGGTAGCATCAGTGGGGTTTCTGACCTTGTAAATGACTCAGACACCCCTGGAAGACGCAACAACCTCAGGAGGTGCCCCCATGATAGCATGTACCCAACTTAACCATTTTTTTTTAATTAAAAAAATTTTTCATGCTAGCACCTTGATCTTGGATTAACCATTTCTTTGCCACATATTTCACATTGCAAGAAAATCCCAGCACTCACCGGTCTGTAGTGAAAATGTACCCCACAAGATCCTTACAGCCCAACAGCAGGACACAGAAGGTGACAGCAAACAGCGCTGGAGACAAAACAGCAGAAGAAACAACAGTGAGCAGGGAGGTCCGCGGGAAGTCGGGGACCCACTGTACTGCGAGCCAGCCTTGGACAGAGGGTTTGAGCACCTGTGATCAGCAGAGCCACCATGGTGGACGTCCTCGCCTGATGGATGTTTCCTGCACCCAGCGCATTCCCCACCCGGACGCTGGCAGCCATGCTGAAGCCCGAAGGGATCTAAAATGAAAAGGAAACCTGCAACAACGACACTGCAAAGTGAGAACACCACCGAGAGAGGCAGCCTCCTGCCTCACACCTGATGGTAAAACTTGATCCTAAAAGTTCTAGAAAGCCTAATTTACAACATCCCCTTTGTCTGGCTAGGAGCTCCCAGGCTACCGCGAGACCTGAACCCAGGTTGAGATGCTGGGTGCAGACCCGGCTCTTTTGCAAGCTCCCAACCTGTGCTGCAGGAGGACCCAGCACAACCGTTTGCCTCCTCTGGGGTGCTGGGGATGGGCTGACCACCAGGACCCCAAGCTAGTATCTGCTCTGAAAGAGCACCAAGAGATCCAGTTTAGAAGGGAGTGGTACTAAAGGAATTACAGGGAAGCAGCACTGCTTTGTGGTTAGGCATCAGGATTCTGAAGCCAGACTGCCTGAATTCAAATCCTGGCACAGCCACTTATCAGCTGTGTGACCCTCAGCAAGTTACTTACCCTCTCTAGACTTCCGTTGTTTTATCCTTAAAAGGGGCCTAGTAATAGAACCTACCTCACAGGGTTATTGCGGGGATTGAATGAGGCCATACAAGCTAACTGCTTAGAATAGTGCCTCACGTGTAGGAATTGCTCAGTAAAGATTTGCCCTGTTATCTTTAAATTTACCATTTGAGAAACTAGTATTTGTGGCCAGGCGTGGTGGCTTACGCCTGTAATCCTAGCACTCTGGGAGGCCGAGGCGGGAGGATTGCTTGAGCTCAGGAGTTCGAGAGCAGCCTGAGCAAGAGCAAGACCCCATCTCTTCTAAAAATGAAAAAGAAATGAGCCAGACAACTAAAAATAGAAAAAATTAGCCAGGCGTGGTGGTGCATGCCTGTAGTCCCAGCTACTCGGGAGGCTGAGGCAGAAGGATCGCTTGAGCCCAGGAGTTTGAGGTTGCTGTGAGCTACGCTGATGCCATGGCACTCTAGCCCAGGCAACAGAGTAAGACTCTGTCTCAAAAAAAAAAAAAAAAAAAAAAAAAAAAAAAAAAAAAAAAAGAAAGCAAGAAAGAAATTAGTATTTGTAAGGAAAGAAGATTCATCACTCATTTAAACATGAACATTGCCTTATAATCAGGATGGCTAAGGACCAGCTTAAAGAAAATCTGATATACAGACTGAGGACTGCAAAAGAAATAGAAGACTCAGTCCCTGACTAGAAAGTCACAAGTAGGGACTAACACAGAGATCTCCCAACAAATTATCTCTTCATTCCAAAAGGAAAGACAGTGCCTTGACAGGGAGAAACCTGGCAGACACCACGTTAACCAATGAAGTCAGTATCCCCAATAATGGCACAGCTCGACGTGGGGTGCCTGCCGATACGAGGCTCCGAGAAGGACTCAGCATCGCATCTGTGGTTTCCCGCCCACAGTGCACAGTCGGAACCCATTTATGAGCAAACATCTGCCACAACACACTGAGGAGATTCTATATATACTGGCCCGTATTCTTCAAGAAAGACTGAGGATCTGCTCCAGATTAAAGGACACTGAAGAGACATGACATCTTAATGCTTATAGTTACAAAGGTCATGACCAGAACAATTGATAGTATCTGAATATGGACTGTGTAGCAAGACAGACAGACAGTAAGACAGAGCAAATGGGGCAAAATATAAACAACTGGTGAATCTGAGGGAAAGGTATACATCCTTCTTTGGGTTAAGTAGAAATATAAATGTAAATTCTTATAAGCCTATTAAAAAAGCATGTGGAAATATATGCAAAAGGCATAAGTTTCACTTTTAGGAATTTATCTCAAAGAAATAATCAAACAGGTGCCCAGAGATATTTATCCTAGGATGTTCACTGAAGTGTTGTTAATAATATTGGAACATTGGAAATAAACTAAATATTCAACGAGAGATTGTTTTAAACATTATACTACATACAGTGGAATACCATGTACTGTTAAGTTTTGATTTAGATGTAGTTACTGAACTTACTGAAATATAAAATGTAAAAAGTGTTGAAGTGAAAAATACAGGTTAAAAAATTCTGCCAAGGATAAAAGAAGAAACCCAAAAACAAAAAAATCATAGGTCCTTAAGAGAATGATTCTTAAGGAAAACAGGAAATGTACACTCTATGTACTTTTAAAACATGACTAATATCAGGGGAGGCGGGAGAACCTAAGCTTTAATACCACAAAAAATGCCAAGCACATCTACTGGCTTTAGTCTCAAACTCCCCTTTCTGTCTTTAATTTTATATTTCTGAAGTATCACTTGCTAGAGAAGAGAGTCCTTCAGAATTTCCAGTTGATGTTCTCAGTAAAACAAAATCAAAGGAAAGCCTCTGACGACTAGGGATCTTCTATCACATATCAAAATTTCTTTCCTTTTCAAAGCAGAATAATATTCCATCGTATGCATACACCCCATTTGGGTTATCCATTCATCCATCCATGGACACTGGGCTGCTTCCACCTTCCGGCTGTTGTGAATAATGCTGCTGTGAACACAGGCAGACAAATATCTTTGAGACTCTGCCTTCCATTCTTCTGGGGACCTGCCTAGCAGGGACCACTCTGTTTTCAGAGGCTGCAGAACCAGCAGGAGCCAGGCATGATGATGCAGGCAGGCAGTTTGGTATTTACTGCCATACATCCAGTCTCATCTCTCCTTGATGCCACCCACCTGTCCCCCAAGACATTTGTGTTGTGACAACCGAAGAAGATTCTAAAAGTACGGAAAGAAAATCAAACCTTTCAGATTTGAGCTGTTAGGAAACAGAGAACGAGCAGGTCATTTGGAGTTTCTGCCCAGCGTCCCCCTGTCAGTTCACAGGGAAGACCCAACTGCATCAGAAGCCCCCTCCCAGGCTCAAGGATGAGATTTTACTTTCATCCATCATTTCACAAATGATAACTTAAGGTATGAATGCCGTGCTCGCTGTGTAGGACTCTTTCGGATACCCAGCAAGGAAAACAGCCAGCAGCTCCACACCACTGGCCCTCCGACGCTCACCATGTACACAATGACGGCCAGTTCGTACACAACGGACTGAGCTCCCAGCTCCACCATGCCGAGGATACCTGGTGAAGAAAGACAGCTGACACCTTGCTTTGGGTTAGAGCCCTGTGTTCCCACCAGTTGTCGTCATCCGTCCTCATACAGACCGCTCAGGAAGCTCCCGATCTCGTAGGCCCACCACTCGATGCACAGCATGAGCATGCTGGGGACAGCCAGGCGAAGGAAGGAGGCCCAGTCCTGCAGGCACTCAAGGGACCACCCTGCAGGCGGGACACACACACGTTTCCAGTTGGTTTGGCCACTGGGCCACGGCCCAACCCAAGACAAAACCCACATCCAAGTTAAAAGACGCACGGCGGGCTTTACCTCCCCACGTAGCTTGATGCAGTTTTTTCCCAAGGATGTAGAGGAAGAGCAATAGAGCCAGGGTGAACTGGGAGATCGTATTTGCCAGTGCAGAACCTCTGCAAAGAACAGTCCCAGTGAGGGCGCTCCCTGTCCTCCATCCTCCCCTGCCTCGCTCGGTGGGGAGAGGAGCAACTGGTCCGTCCCTTGCCGCGCCATCCTCGGCAGGCCCTGAGGTCTTCTTCCTCCAGAGCAGCGTCACCCCCATCCCTGACAGTGCTTTCCAGAGTGGTGCAAGAACCAGCTGAAGGGCCCACTCACTCTTCTCCCCCCGGAAAAGCCACATGCAGGTTGTCCCTTCCCCGTGTCCCGAGAGTAAGTCGGACTTACATCACCCCAAGGTGCAGTTGATAGAGAAACACATAGTTGGCGAGGGCATTGACGAGGTTGGCCGCAACTCCGGTTACGATCTGCGGCAGTACGATTCCCTGCAACAAGGACATGGCACACCATCCTTGAGTTGGGCAGGCTGCCTTTCTGCTAGGGAATTTGCAATTCCCTAGCAACCTATGATGTTGAGCATCTTTTCACATGCATATATGTATGGTGAGGTGTTTGTTCAGATCTTTTGCCCACTTTTAATCAGGTTGTGCATTTTCTTATTGTTACATTTTACGAGTTCTTTGTATATTTTGGGCAACAGTCCTATATCAGGTATGTCTTTTGCAAATATTTTCTCCCAGTCTGTGGCTTATCTTCTCATTCTCTTGACATATATATCTTTTTACAATATGCGATCACGTGCACATTTGATAACCTGCTTTTTAATATAACACAGTATTTCCAATTTTGCTTTAAACTTCACATTCTAAAGGGCTGCTAAAAATCATCACATTTCTTCCTCTGTAACCCCACTCTGCAGATGAAGGCAGATGAACGGACGGCCTTTCTGCTACCCAAACACACATTCGGTGTCACAGGCCTGGAGGGGGCTCAACTGGGAAGCCGCGTCCTCGCTGCTCCCACTTCCTGCCCCCATCCCTCCTCTTCTCTCTGGGGTGTGAAGTGCAGGGTTCTGGCCATAGCGAGACACGGGCAGGAAATGAGAAGACGGCAGAGAGGGACGCAGAGGAATGGCTCGTATCCAACAGTGCAAAGACTGGCAGAGATTAAAAGGGTTCAATAAGCCATTTTTGACACCGGACAATGGGAGAAAATGACAATACATTCTCAACCAAAATTGAAATTCAGAAAACCAACCTGTGAAAATCTTGGGAAGCTAGAGTTTCTTTCTGGAGGATGGAATGGACTCCATCATATCTGACTGTCATAAGTACAGGGGCAGAAAAACGTCCAGACTACTTGGTATCTCAAATTAAGACTTAGGGCACGAGAGTGCAATTACATTAGACCGAGGAAGTAAAAATCCGTCCTGCCGCGCATCAGGATAGAGTAACAGACACAGATAAAGTCAGCCGCAAAGGTACGAGGAGCCCCTGCGAAGTGTCACTGCACCCCCTTTTGGAATGACTACTGCTTTCTTTCTCACTGGGAAATTTTGTTCCCTAAAATCATGGACTGTAAGAAATTTTGCTGTTTGAAAACATATCAGTAAAAAGAAAACATCTCAGTCTTGGCCGGAGGCTGGAAGTCGCTTTAACACAAAAGAGCAGCCTCACCTGAGTTTCGGGGCGCGGCACTCTGCATCTGTCCACCGTCCACGCCCGTCTCAGCCTGGCAGTTTCCAAGGGAAGAGGAACTGCGCCCACGTCCCAGTCCAGACCTGACACTGACCCCCTTGCTCCAGCCCTGCTCCGTGCTTAGCGACCATGACCTCGTTCAGCTTCGCCAGAACCCCACCCTTCCTCAGACCCTTAGAATAACTCTTCCTCCTCTGCTGGCAGGGACGCCCCTGCTCTGGTCGCTCTTGATGCAGAGGGTCAGTAAACCCAGCTGCAAACCCAATCGGACTGCAGGTTTGTCTCGGGTAGTCTCGGGCTGGTGGGGCCAGGACAAGAGTCGTGGCTGTTTGTTTATCAGGAGACTGGGTTAGTTTTTAGCGGGGGAGTTCGTGGTCAGATTTACATTTCAGGAAGATCCTCTGAAATGACAGAGGACAAACGACAAGAAATGGCTTCGGGCCGTGGCACAGAGCCGGGGAGCTACAGGACCAGGTGACGGACCCCACGCGGGAGGGAAGGAAATGGCGTGAAGGGAGCGACAGGTGACTGGGGAGAGGAGGGCCGGGGACACAGGAGGGCGGAGGAGCAGGGCCCGCGGAGGGGTCGTGCCTGCGACGCCTGCGACGTGCACGCGTCTCTCAAAGGCAGCTGGACAGGATGACTGGATGTTAGAGAGCGAATGTGGCCGTGACAGGCACAGAGAGGACAGCCGCCCTCACAGCAAGGTCAGAGAGGCCATGGAGCCGCCTTCCCCTCCAAGGCCTCTCACCCTCCCGCACGGAAATCTGGGCACCCCCAGTCTCGGCCGGCTCTCTTCCCACCCCACGCCCTCTGCAAACACCCAGCTGCTTCTCTGTGCTTCCACACTCAGCTGAGGGCCAGGCTGTCTTCCTAGGGAAGGGCCCCAAGGCAGAACCTTTCCGTTAAAGCGCGGAACATTCCTCCCCCGTCCCACAGCTCCCTGCATCTCATTCTGCTCATTCTTCCTTCACCATAGACCGTCATGACCACTGGTCTGGACCATGTCCATAGCTCTCATCTCTCCCCCTGCCAATTAGTGTGTTTCCAAAACTGAAATCCCCAGCAGAGAATGCAAGGCCCTGCACGTACTGACCACGGGCCAGCCCACCCCTCGGGGCCTCCGTCCACTGTGTCCCCACCACAGCAGTGGCCTAACCAGACTCCACGTGCCCCACCCCTGTGAGCAGGCTCCTCTGCCCTCTGTCTGGGAGCCCCACGTACCCTCTTAACTCAGTTCAAACCTCCCGAGCCCTTTCAGCTCGTGGCTTGAGGTGTTGTGCCCCAGGGTGTTGGAGAAAGGGCTTCACATCCACCATCCTCACTAAGTCAGAGCCTGAGTTAGGGCCACTGCGGCTGTGGGGAGACTGAGTCAGGGAGAAGGCCCTGCAGTGTGCTAAGGCCACTACCCTGCTCCAAACAGGCTCCAGATTGAAAGCAGACAGCCCAGAGACGGATCAGATATGCTGATTTTCTTCTCTAGTCTACAGCTATTTCAAGTACATAATTCTAACACTAATAAAGATTTAAAACATTATCGTTTTGTTAATAGGGTATTATTTTAATTTTAAGAACACTGAAGAGGCCGGGCGTGGTGGCTCACGCCTATAATCCTAGCACTCTGGGATGTTGAGGCAGGAGGATCACTTGAGCTCTGGAGTTCGAGACCAGCCTGAGCAAGAGTGAGACCCCATCTCTACTAAAAATAGAAAAATTAGCCGTGTGCGGTGGCACACACTTGTAGTCCCAGCTACCTGGGAGGCTGAGGCAGGAGGATCACTTGAGCCCAGCAGTTTGAGGGTGCTGTGAGCTATGATGACACCACTGCACTCTAGCCCAGGTGACAGAGCAAGACTCTGTCTTAAAAAAAAAAAACAAACAACACTGAATAGATGGGAAACTTCCTTCTTTCTCCCCTTCCTCATCCCTTCCTGGTACATATGCCTAGAAAGCCTGGCTATGTGGCTCGATCCGTTTCCTGGTATCCCATTTGCCTGAATGTACCTGGAAGGAAGCTGACAGTCCCACACATGTTGGCTTCACAAATCCACACCCACCAAGTCAGGGTGCCCATGCTGGGGCCTTTGGCTGTTACTGTTAATCACATATGAAGAGCTCTAGCTGATGTTAGTCATTATTACATCTGGAGCTTTCATGTCCCCGCTGAGGAAAATGGATCTTTCAGACAGAACCTAGCAGAGGTTGGCTCCCTGGAGCCAGACGGGCCACTCCAGCCCTCCGTTCTGTCTGGGGAGCGGACAGGCAGGCACCCTTCCTCCCAGGGAGCTGGGTTCAAACGCAGAGCCAAAGCACACTGCAGCTCTGACCTCCCCTGCCAATGATGACATTTCCAAGTGGGAAGTGGACATGAATCTTCCAGAGTCAAGAATAATGTTGATATCACTTAACAAACCTCTCAACATCAAAGTTCTATGTACACAACACCTAAAAATGTCTTCCTACATCCTGCCAGGTCTCTCTGGTCCCAGGGGATCTTCAGGGCCCCCCCATCGCAGAAAGGTACAAACTCCCATTAGCCTCCCTGAGAAAAGGACAGTCAGCATTACCTGGTTGAGCAAATATTTAACTTGTAACGTATAAAGAAAGGTTGCCTACGAGAGAACAAGAGAGAGAAATGTTAACGTTCAGCCTTGCCACACAACAGTGAGGTCACAGGGCCCCGCGGCTGGGAGCCACGGCTGGCTGGAGCCATAACCAAGGCTTGGCTTCCCTCTGCTCCCACGCGGAACAACAGAAGCTGTCACCTCAGGATGGGGACAGGGGCCTGGGAGCTATGGCCGGGGTGTTTCATACATCTCTTTTATGGATGAAGATGATCCAGCCACCCCACAGTTTCCCTGAGTGCACGGCACAGAAAGGAGGTCCCTGGACAAACTGCAGGTGGGCACCTCCATGTAGACTGGGCTGTAGTTCTGTTTGGTGGAATAATTAACGAATATCACACTGAAAATGTTTCAGGATGAATTAAAGAGCATAATGCCAATTATGAAGGCAAATGGCTACTGTGTCCGAATTGTGTCCCCTAAATCCATATGTTGAAGTTCTGACCCCCACTGTGACTGTATTTGGAGTCGCTGGTCTTTAAAGATGTGATTAAGTTAAAATGAGGTCATTAGGGTGGGCCCTGATCCAAGAGGACTGATGTCCCTATAAGATGACAGAGACACCAGGGATGTGGCACCTGCTGGGGGACAGCGTGTAGAGAGGCGGCAAAGGGAGACCATCCTCAAGCCAAGCAAAGAGGCTGCAGAGACCAGCCCTGCCGGCACCTTGACCTTGGACTCTCAGCTCCCAGACTGTGAGAAACAGTTCCTGTTGTTCAAGCTGCCCAGTCTGTGGTGCGACGTCATGGCGCCCGAGCAGGCTAATTCAGCCACGCTCTCCAACTGAGTCACACTTAGCTTTCGCGGTTCCTTGACCTCGCCGCTGTGTCAAACATTAACACGCACTTACAGTTCTGCGTGGTCACACTCAGCGACAAAAAGCAGGCTAACGGCTCCACGTGATGCCCTCAGGGGGTCGGGGTGGGTAAGACTTTGCCCCTATACAAAACAAAAAGTCTGCAGTCTTCTCCAGGGATGATCCTGGAGGTCCCTTCAGCTTATAGAGTTCAGGACAGTGGCCCTCTTGAGTCACCTCGACCCTGGGGTTTCTTTGAGACCAACATTTGCTGTGTCCTTAATGGGGTGATTAAAACCACACTTCCTAGAGGAGCCAGCGCCACAGGTGAGACTCATCTAACGCTGAACAAACACGCTGGGCTCCTGGGTGTTGAAGCTGCTTTTCACCAACAGACCCCAAGAAGGGAAGCTCTTAACCCTGAGCACTTACAGGAAGAGCTGGCATGAAGATCGTGACGTAGGTCTGGGTAAGCCTGCAAAAGGAAAAGAAAGAAGTGGTAACAGAGGCCTCTGTTTCAAGGGAAAGGAGGCAGAATAAAATAACTAAAATTGCCATTTGCATTCTTAGCTTTTTCTAAATTAATGGGCTTAAACTGCTGGAGCAAATGTAAAATGTAAAAATTTACACCCAGACCTTGTCATCTTATACCCCAGATAACCTTTCTTGGTGCTTTTAAGTCTCTAGGTCTAGGGCAGGGTTTTTCAACCTCCGCACGATGGCCGGATAACTCCCTGTTGTGGGGAGCTGTCCTGGGCATGGCAGCAGGTTCCATAGCCTTCCTGGCTTCTACCAGGGGCAACCCCTCACTACCAGTTGTGATGACCAGAAATGTCTTCAGATATTGCCAAATGTCCCCTGGGTTTGGAGACATTGGTTTATGGCAAGGACTTTTTAAAGGTCTTAATCAATTCAACCAGCGGGTCGCACACGTAGAAGCACGTTAGAATCATCTGGAATGCTTTGAAAGCCACTGACGCCCGTGTCTCACCCTGGACCAATTAAAACAGAATCCTGGGGGGTGGAGACCAGGGGGATGGGTGGGTTTGAAAAGCACCCAAATGGTTTGTTTCATTATCAACCAAGGTCAAGAATAACTAAACTACGAACCAAACCACAGACTACCATCCCAAGTAGAGGATGTTTCCAAATCTAATTGCACTCAAAACTCTTAACTCTAGGAGTCACCCAGAAGAGGAGGGATCTAGAGCTTAGGTGCCACGTGTGGAAAGTAAGAAGACCTGGGGGACATCCGCGGAGGAGACCTTAAGCCCGGGTTGGTGCGCAGCCCCCTGGCCTTTGTAATTCCCAGAGACTGAACCTGGAAGGATGGTCTTTCCTCCGCCGGGATGGATGCCCAGTCCCACCAGGACAGGTCCCATCTCACCTGGACACGTCGGGGTCCTGCCTGAAGAGCAGCAGGATGTGCTGCGTGTTGAGGAAGAGCGCCCAGCAGGGGAAGCAGCAGAGGAGCAGGATGAGCGTGCCCCTCTGCAGGATGACCCCCACATGCTTCAGGTTCTGGCTCCCGTACGTCTGGGGTGCACACAGCCAAACATAGTCGTTAGCACAGACATGGCCCCCTCGCTGTCCCCCAGAGCCCTCAGTCATGCCTTGCAAAGATTTTGCCAGTCTTTAGGTAGGAGGGCACTGATGGTGAGAAAGATGAGGGATTCTCAAACTTGGCTGCCCATTAGAATCAGCTGGGGAACATTTTCAAAACTCTGATGTTAGCGTCCTGCTAAAGATATTCTGGATTTAATTGGTCCAAGGCAAGACCCGGATATCAATAACTTTTAAAAGCTCCCCATGTGATTCTAATGTGCAGTCAGGGCTGCATAACCTGGAAACTTGTTAGAAATGCAAATTCTTGAGACACGCTCTAGACCTACTGAAGCAGATCCTGGGGGCAGGGCCAGTGGTGTGTGAGAGCCAGCTCCTACTGGCTTACAAAATCCAAATTGTGCATGGCTCCATGTTCAGTGACATCTCTGCAGTAGCTTGAAATTAACCACAGAGGGAACACTTACACCACTGGAATTGGCAAACACCACGAGTCAGATGTTTCCCTCCCACCCCTGCCCTGAAGACCTGGTTGTTGGATATTTACTGGCATGAGATTGGCTGGGGCCCAGCAACCTGTGTGTTAACAAGCCCTCCTGGCAATTCTCAAGTCTGAGAACCACAGGACTATGCCAAACTCAAACACGCAGTGCGTGATAGAAATGCCCCCTATTTGGTCAAAGTATAGTGCCAGGCAGTCATGCAGATCAACTCCAGTTCACAGCAGGCCAGGGGCACTGAAACCGATGGCTGATAGCCGCTGCAGGTGCTTGCTGGCGCAGATTTCCTCGCCTGTGCACGTGACTCTCCCTCTTGCCAGTGGGGCTCTTCCGTCTACACCGGAGAGCCATCCAGGGTCACTGTGAGAGTGCAACCGCGTCCATTTACCTGGGAGATGAGGGTGTCGCACGCAGAAGATAAGCCAAATCCCACTGAAATGCCCGTGATGTTAATAATCTGGAAATAAACCCAAAGGTAAGGCTACACAGGGTTAAAGGAAGAAAGGAAGACACATTCTCTCCCTGTGTTGATGACAGCCTGCAAAGCTCCTCCCTTGGCATTCACAAATCAATCTGATCAACTCCCTTAACTGCCTGGAGCCCCCTGCTCAGAGCAGTTGGGCCAGCTTAAAGGACATGCACAAGTTCAAAGACGAAAGAAAAGTTTAGGCCACAGGTGACTATCCGGCCGTTCTCTTTTCTTAAGTCTTAGTCATTTTGCTCTTCAGTATGGGGATCAGGAACCGTTCCTGAGGGAACGCAGCATGGCACAACGGCAGTTTTGGGTAAGCCACTTGCTCAGGACCTAGTATGGCCGGGCCGTCCTCCTGAAGGGCACTGGCGCACGGAGGCAAGTCTGACATCGAGGCTAGTGCCAGGGCCCCTTCAAGTGTACTCACCTTCACCAGGGTCAGCAAGAACACCCTGGGGTCCCTGGAGCTTCAGGGAGCCCAGGACAGTGCCCCCCAACTGAGAGTGGCATCACAGGATGCCTGATGCCCTTCCCATCTGGCACCTGGCACCTCCACCTGAGTCTATAGAGAGGAGCCCACGGACAGCAGCCCAAAGCGGCCCAGCCTAGAAGCCGCACTTTGAGAAATCTTTGGCCACAGCCTACAATTCCTCGGCCAGAGACTCTGCGGAGGCTGCTAAGTTCTTCCTGAAGGCAAAACAAACTAGTTCCGTATACACTTGGTGACTAGTGAGTAGTCTTGCATAGTTCAAGGGTAGCAAACTCAAATGCCTGGAGGACCAGGCAGGGAACCTGAAAGTGTGTCTCCACCAGGGCAGTGGGGAAGGGGAGGGGAGGCTGCCGGAGCAGGAACACACACCCTGCTGAGAGCCACTGAATCCATTTTTCTAGAAATAACCCAACTGCCCAAACCTAAATCCTGTGGTCTTGCGTGGCCAGTTGAAAATCCCTGGCAGAGATTGATGGCGTATCTCTGGTTTTGGGGTTTACGCCTACAATACAGAGAGGATTTGGGGTCCCACCGATGTTAGGTTTGGATACTAGGATCTAGACTTTGCCTTCCAGTTCCATTTCCAGTTAGGAGTTTCAGGAAGACACACAGTGGAGGGGGTGGGGCACGGGGACTGAGTTTCTCCGATGAGGTCAGACTTGAACTCTCCTTTTACAATTCCCTTCTCCCGGATGTGAGAGCAAGAGTGGGAAGCAGGCCTCATGGATTAGAAACTAGATGATGAGGCAGGCAGGATAATGTCCCCTCAGAGATGTCCCCATCCTGAGCCCCAGAACTTAGGAATCTGCGAGGCGACATAGCAAAGGAGAATTAAGGTTGCAACCCCACCGGCACCTTGATTTCAGCCCAGTGAAACCCACTGCAGATTCCTGCCCCCCGGAACTGTAAGAGGGTAAGTCTGTGGAGTCAGGCCACTGTGTCTGGTATTTGTCACAGCAGCAGGGCGTGGATTAGCATTAGAAGGTCCCATACGCACAGCGATAGCAAGGGTGACAGCGTCCAGTTCCAGCTTGCCCAGGTGGCCGCAGAACACGGAGCTTATGAAACTGATCAGGAACAACATCAGCTGGGCCAGGAACTGGGAAGAGAGGGAGAAGGGAGGTGAGGTGAGCGCCCACCGGGCCATCGTGGTGAGGGGTGCAGTGCCCAGGCCCCAGGGGCGACTCCACCCCGTTCAATTCCAGTGGGAAGCAAAGAAACCCAGCATCAGTGAGCTCCGCCACCTTTCACAGGCAAAAGTACAATTTCAGGGGGCTTCTTGAAATATTAAAAATTTTTTTGCAACCACTGGGTCAGAATCATGTTTTTGAGAACTTCCAGTGTTTTTGGTTTATTTTTTTCACTGCAATTTTTCATGCCATAGATCATGTTAAATTTCCTCCGAAATTTGCAGAGGCTGCCTTCTGGGATAACCCTCTTGTTATGTGAGATTCCTAGTGAGGACTGGGGAGAATATAGCCTTCCAGTGAGAACTCACTGCAGGCCGCAAGAAATCCCACAGGCAGGAGGCACTGAGGGAGAAATGCGCTCATCCCACTGGAAGGCCGGTGGGATCTGAAATCGCCAGGTGACACACCTGGGGTCCGTGGAGCACTTTTCATTCTTTAATTCTACGCAGCCTCAGATATGAGAGCAAGTTCAGCTTCTGTAATATTGAGCTACTCTTCCTCGAAATTCCAGCCACTGCTATGAATTGCTCCACTGTGTTTTTGCGGCACAATTGGGCAATGAGCTTATTTCTTGAGGTTAAGTCAAAACCACGTCCTGCCTCCCACCCGCCAGACCCAGGCAGTCCAGTCTCTCCCTGGGGGGAAGCCCCTCTCCCCTCTGAGGCTTATGTGATCCAAGAGGGGGGTTCATCTGACCCCCTGCTCCTAGGAGGACAGAACAGGTGCCTAAGGATTTGCTGCAGCTGCTGCCACCACCCACAGCTGCCCCTACGAGGCCCCTTTCTAAAGCTGACCCTCGGGGATGGTGACATGTGACGCTTGCCACTGGTCCAGCCCTGATGCCACCTCTCACAGCCCTTCAAGGGAACTGGACTCCTCTGTGCTGAGCTCAGACAGGACCGCCCTTCCTTAGGCTCCAGGGGCCTGGCCTCCGCCAGGCTCCTACGCGGCCCATCTGCCAGCGCCACAGCCTCCCCAAAATGCTGTCAGGGCCCAGTCAGGACCCTGTGCCTCGACGGTACCATGACCCTCCTCTTTCCTTCCCCGGCATTCACATCTGGGAAGAGACAGTTTTCAACTCCTGTGATGCGCCCAGACCTTCCAAACACGAAAAGCCTGTCCCTAACCTGGGGGTGGTGTTCGTGTGTTGTAGGGGACACATCTTTCTTGCATCAATTCCCAAACCATGATCCAAGTGCCTCTCTCACCACCACAGAAACTGAGTGCAAATTGGAGCTCGGTGTTTAAACTGTATGTTCATGTACCTGTAATGACCACGGAGTCCTTGTTTGCAAACTCAGCAACACTTCCGCACCTTTTCAGATCACTGTCCTTTAAGCCTCTGTGCACATTAACCATCGCAATGGTCATGTTCACCAAATCTTTCTCCTTCTCGTGGGACATCGTGTTTCCACGCCACCGTGCCCTGTCTCCCTGCAGGCCACACAGAAGTTATTTCTCACAGCTTCATGTGAAAACAAGTCCAGTCTCCCCTATCGTTAGGCCTTTGGAGAATTTCCCATATTTTACTATCACAAACTGTACTGCTCTGAACATCTTTTTCACTTGGGTGGGGGACACGCATTTTCTTAGGGCGAGCGCCCAGGCCAAGGGTGGGAATAGTTGGATGTCTCTGATACAAAAGGCCAGGAAGTCAATCCGAGTTAAACTAATCCGTGTGAGATTCACCTTCTGCGTCAGTGCCAGCAAAAACAGTCTCTTCATGAGGGCCGCTGCAGCTTTGCCGGGGTTATGGCAATAACCCAGTGCTCAGATTGTCTGAGTTGGGCAGCCGAACACGGCCAGCCCATGCTGAACCTTGGTCTCACGGCCCCAGAGTTCAGATTTGCTAACTTCTCAGATCTTGGTTTCAAGCCCTTTGGGTTTGAACTCTTGACCACAGACTGTAGTTTGTGTACATAAGGGTCACATGGGGGAGGCTGTTCAAAATGCCTGTGCCCCAGCCCATCTCAAGAGGTCCGCGGGGCTGGGGAATGCACCCTACCCCATACACACCCAGTCAAGATGTAGGTGGTCGAGGACCACACCTTGAGAATGCTCCAGACCCTCTGGCACTGAGCTGTCACAGAGCACATTGCTGTACTCAAGGAATTAGACAATTCTGGACAAAGGTTTATTCCCCTAGATGTTTCAATGGCTGCTGTCTGAACAACAGCCTGAACTGGCAGTGGCTCGGACAGAGCCAGAAGGATGGTAGAAATTGCTAGACTGTTCTTCTGTCCCTTCTCCTTGCCACAGAGACCCTGCTCAAGTTTTGGCCAGGCAGCAATAAACAAGCTTGGCAGCAAGACAGAGACTCACCGCCTGGCAGCTTTAGCAGGTGCTCTCTAGGGGCGGATACCTCCAGAAAGGCCTCTCTCGCCCACTCCCATGGATGCCTGGGAGCTAACCCACCAGAAGGGACCCAAAAGGGCGTCTGGGACAGCCTCTTCTTCTGTACATGAGGATGCACAGGCCGGGAGGTTTAGCAAGCAGCCGAGTTACCTGACTCTCAGCTCAGATGGTCAGTGAGGGCAATATCTTTGGAGTACAAAGTACATCCAGCACTTGGGGTACAGGGTGAGTCGGACAAACACCATGCTCCATTCCTACTCCATGGAACCCACAGTACAGACGATCCCCGACTTATGATGGTGCAAAAGCAATATGTGTTCAATAGAAACCATTGAACTTTGGATTTTGGATCTCTTCCCAGCCTAGCAATTTGCAGTCTCAGACTCTGCGGTGCTGGGCAGTGGCAGCCAGCTGCGGCTCCTGGTCAGCCCCGAGATCACCGGGGCAAATGCCCGACGCTCTACAGTATGCTGCGTGGCTGGTGGTTTTTGGATTTTGTGTTTTGTGTTTTCACATCCCACCATGTCTACAGAACGCCCATCTGTGTCTCCTGCTTCTGGTGAGAAGAGATGAAACCGAAGATAACTACCCGCTGTGAAGGCAGGAGGCCAGCAGCGGCCATCGCCGAGGGGTAGGACTTTCGCAATCCACGATCTCAGCCACCTTATCCTTTAAAGGCATTTAATGCTGTTTCCAGCTTGGGTAACCCCACAAGCCGGGGAGCAGCTGTAGAGGAGAGAAAGATGTTCACGATGCAACAAATAACACGGCTCATGACGTGTGTGACAAGCATGAGAGCGCAGCAGAGGAGTCAGAGAAGGTTTCTGGAGGAAACGTGGTTGAGCTGAAACCTGAATGACGACTAGGTCGAAGATGAATAGGCAGGCGAAGGTGGCTTATCTGTCAGGAGAACATTCCGGCAGAGGGAAGGGGTGCGGCAGGAGGCCCTGAGAGGCAGCTGGGTGCAGGGGACGGGTCAGGCAATAGTGGCACAAAATCAGGCAAGGCCAGGCCACAGAGGGCTTAGAGGACCAAGGAGAGGGTTTTGAGCAGGAGGTGAAAAGCTCCACCTGGAGCCAGTGGGGCAGCATGGCCCTTGAGGGTCGAGATGCCGAGAAGTGGATCCCGCTGGGAGGTATTTAGGGCACTAAACCAAAGGCCTTGGTGAGGATGGGTTGGAAGAGGAGACGGGGAGAAGACAGGGAGGTGCTGGACCCCAGCCAGGCTTCCTCTGTCCAGGTGCCGCCCTCCTTGGACACTTCCTCACGCCCAGGGGAGCTATCTTCCACTTGGTCTTCCTTACCTTAGGCCTAGGTTATCTCTGGCCTCTACCAAGCTTCCTGCTGAATCTGATGTCACTAACCACTCTGATAAGTCTTTTCCCCACTGCCTGCAGGATACTATTTATTTATTTATTTATTTATTTATTTAGAGACAGAGGCTTGCTCTGTCACCTGGGCTAGAGTGCTGTGGCAGCATCATAGCTCACAGCAACCTCAAACTCCTGGGCTCAAGCGATCCTCCTGCCTCAGCCTCCTGAGTAGCTAGGAATGCAGGCACACGCCACCACACCTGGCTAATTTTTTCTATTTTTAGCAGAGACAGGGTCTCGCTCTTGCTCAGGCTGGTCTTGAACTCCTGAGCTCAAGCGATCCTCCCACCTCCACCTCCCAGAGTGCTAGGATTTACAGGTGTGAGCCACCGCGCCTGGCCTAGGATACAATTTAAATGGTCAGTCTGCATGTTTTTCTTTGTGTGTCCTGGATAAAGCCAGTCTCTCCAGACACCCTCTCCACTCCCCCACCTGGCCGGCCCTCCCTGGTCTACTCCTTGCAGCCCCAGAAGGTGCTTGAGCTCTTTCCCAGGTGTTTCTCCCCTGCACAGATGGAAACAAGCTCCCTGAGTTGGAGCCTAGCCTCTGTTATATCCCGGACAATGCCACACACAGCCCATGCCCCCTGGCAGTGGGAATCCAACTTTGAGGTTATTATTTTTCAGGACTCTGGCCGACTTAGCCAGGTGACCAGATGTTAATAACAAAGAGAAAGCATGGTTGGAAGACATGAGGCTAGGTATTTGCAGCCACCACATTCCCCCTACCAAATACTTGTTTTCCTGAAGCTTCCACGGGATAACATGGAGAGTCCCCCTCAGGTCCTTTGAGGTAGGGATTATTCTCTCCACAAAGGCCTCATTTAAAGCCCAGGGGGAGAGAATCACCCCTCAAAGGTTAGGGTTAGCTTGATAGTCTGAAAGGGAGAGGGGAGAGGGAGAAATTCACAGACAGGAAGGCTAGGCAGGGCATCCTGTTAAATCTAAGGTGGAGCCTGGAAGAAGCAGCGATTGGACATGGAGTACCACCACGCGCCCCTGGGGAAACAGCTCACAGCAGAGGGGAGACGGGAGAGAGACCAAGAGGGACTCCACATACAGTTCACAAGTGACTGAACAGGTGCCAGAATTCCACCACCACGTTTTTGCAAAGCAGTCAGGGTCACACAGACAAAGGACTGGAAGGAAATTTCCCAAATTACCTCTCAGTGTTGAGATTTCAGAGTTTGTTTCCTTTTGTTGGTCTTGGTTTTCCAGTTTTTCTGCAGTGGATATGCATTACATTTGCAATAAGCACAATCTTATAAATGCACATACACATGTGAGCACACAGAGAGGGCAAGGGCGCCCCCCAAGCCCAGGAGGCCTGGGGGAGTCCCTACATCAGGGGGTCAGGTAACTGGGAGGGGCTGGGTCTCAGAAAGCTGCCCTGTTTTTTGTTTTTGTGTTTTCATAGCAGCAAAGCATTAACAGCCTTACAAAGCCCTTTCTCACAGCAACTCTGTGAGGGAGTGTTGGACCAAAACACAGACTACTGTCCTCATTTTATGGATGAATAGGCAGAGACTAGAAGAGGTTAAGAGACAGCTCCAATTCACAGAGCCGTTTCCTAACATGCCTTGGGAGATGAAAGCCAGGAACTGAACCCCAGGTCTTGAGATTCCAAACCATCAGTTCCTTCTGGCCTGTGAGAGCATGGCAAACTCCTTCACACCGGGCAGATTTTCATGCCATGGCTTTGTTCCTGGGCGTTATTCCCGCTGCCCTGTACACCACAGTGAGTATCACAATATCCCACAAACGACAGTGCCATCATTGCAGGGGGACACAGTTGCCCACCTTAGCCTGCCAGGTGCAGAATGCCTGCCCCAAGGCTAAAGCTTAAACACGCCTAAACACGCACAGGTTGCTTCTTGTCCAGGGAGCTTAGCTTGAAAACCACCCAAACAGCTTGAAAACATGCATCAGATTATATTTTTGTGGTTTTTAAAACCCACATTACTTTTAAGAGACAAAGCAGAAAGAGCCCTAACCTAAAGAATAAAAACAAAAAAGAAAAATCCCACAGATGAGAACACCTCAGCTCTCAACACAACTAATTTAGATACCTGAGTTCCCGGACTTTACAGTTAGTTTTCAAAGAAACCAAGTTCCCCGGTGCTTTGAAGTTCAGGTAACTTTTGTTTCGTTCGAACCAGCCCCTGAGAAGGCACACCCAGGGTGCACCTGCAGCCTGGACCCAGACAAGACACCGGATCGAGCCCCGTTAGACGCTCAGGTCCCCGGTCCCGAGTGGCTCCGAATGGAGGAGTCCGGAGCCACCGGTCTTGCCTTTCCGCCCGCGCGCCTGGGCGCGTGCCCGCTACGCCCGCGGTGCCAGCTGCGCCCGGCGGGTCCGCGCAGCCGGAGCCCACGCGGAGGAGCGGGGCCGCCCGCCCGGCTCTGGGCACGGCGCTCCTCGGCGCCCGCCGGCTGCCCCGGCCAGCTCGCCCTGTCCCCTACCTACCTCCACCAAGTCACACGCAGAGGCACCTGTCACAGGGCCCCCAACCCACCGGGACCGGCCTCCAGCTCGGGCCATCTTACTCACCGCGGGGCCCGCCAGCACCAAGAGCGCCCGCAGCTCCTCTAGGATGTCGGGCAGCGGCAGGCAGCGCGGCCCGCGGCGCTCGGGGGTGGCCTCTGGGCCTCGGGGCCGGGGCGTGGGCTCCCGGGGAGCCTCCATGTGCCTGGCGCGCTGCAGCGGGGAAGCTCGGCGGCCGCGGCTGGGACGGCGCAGGGCAGCCCGCACTCCAGTCCCCGCCCCGGGCCGCCGGCCCCCCCGCCCCGCGCCGGGAGCAGGCGGGCCCCGCCGAGCGCGCCGCCAGCCAGTCTGCGACCTTGGGCGCACCCCTTGCACCTCTGCAGCACCGCGCACGCCCGCGGGTCTTGCAGAGGCCGAGAACTCCTACACTTGGAAGGCAAAGTTTGAAAAAGCTCTGGAAACTAACGGAAAGCGCTCCGGGGCCGGTCCTCGGACGCCAGGGCTCACCCTGGCTATGCACCTCTCTTGGAGGGTTCAGGTTTTGAAGGGTGTGGCGTGGAAGGACCTAGAGTCCTGGAGCCGCAACTCGGTTGGCGGCCGGCAGGGTTTACGGGTTGGGCGCTTCCGTGGTCATTGCCGTGCAGGTTGTGCTCAGCACACTGGTTTGGATTCTGCAAACTCCTTTTCCCCCCACCAGTAGTTCCATTAGAGATACCTCTGGCCAGACAGATCACTCACCTTCCTCCTCCACGCCTCAGGATTATTTACATACCTGAGCTCCCGGACTTTTAGCTACTTTTCAAAGAAACCAAGTTCCCAGTGTTTTGCAGTTCAGGTAACTTCGCTTCGTTGCTGGAATCAGCGCTGAGAGAAGGCACAGCCCGCTGGCACCTGCAGGCTGGACCCGGATGAAGCCCCGCTGGGAGCACAGCAAGGATAGAGCAACACGCTCACATTTTCCAAATGGCACATATGATGTTCGATGGTCTTCTTGGATGTCTATCCCGCAGCCCGATGTGGGAGAGCCAGAGCATCAGGCCAACGTGCGTTCAAGGGACACCTGCTGCATTCCACCAGGAAGAACATGGGCAACCTGCTTGCCTCCCAGGGTCTCGGTTTCCTCAACTGTAACCTCTAAGTAGTATCTACATCCCGGTGGTGAAGACCCGGACTGCACAGGTGGTGACCAGAGTCAGTGCCACGTGCCCTCAGCCGGGCACAACCATTGCCTAACAATGTTAGTTACCAGGACAAGAATGATTTCTGTAATAGTCAAAATTCTTGCTGTTGTAAGTGATCCAACGTAAGCAGAGAAAGTGGAAAACAGAAATTTTTTGGCTCACGTAACCAGGAAGTTTGGATGCAGAGATTTAAAAACAAGATCATTAGTGTCCTCCCCGTCCCCATCTCTCTCCCCACGCTTTGCCATTCTCTCTTTGGTTTCATTCCTCCTCTGCAGGCAGCCTCTCTCTTCCTGCCTCCCCTACCCTCATTCCTATCTTTCCCACCTGGCAAGCCAGAAAGTAAGACTGTTCCTTCCTCTCTTCTAGCTCCAAACTAACAAACAAAAACCCAGGAAAAACTTGATTGGCCCTGCTTGGATTTCATGCCCACCTCTGAACAGTCACCCTGGCCAGGAAGACAGGGTCTTCTGTTTGGCTGAGCCTGGACCAGGCACTCAGCTCTGTGCCAGGGGGGTTGGGTGCTACCTGTGAATGGTAATCATCACACCAGAACTGCATGCATGGAGTAGAGGAGAAGGTTCCCAAAAGAACTGAGAGTCTCAACAGACAAAAATCCCAGGATATACACTAGATCTCCTATCACTGCTGTTCTTGAATAGTGTTCTGGAAGTCCTGACCAATGTAATAGGACAAGAAACAGAAACACAATGTATAAATATTCAGAAAGAAAAGGCAAAAGTATTACTTGTAGTTATAATTCCAGGCAATCCAAAGAAATCAAATAGGAAAAAAGCTAATAGAATTAATAAACAAATTTAGTAAAATTGCTACATACAAGTTCTTCAACAAATCATATAAGTCCTTTACATGGGTAATTATGTGTATGGAAATATTAAAAGAAGAAGTTTCTTTCCCAATAGCAAGAAATAAAAACTCCTTGTGATGTGAAGCATAGCTTCTCACTCCCTAAAGGTGGGGTGTACACAGTGACCTCCTTCCTAAGAGTGCAGTATAGAAAGTGGGGAAATAGTAACCTTACACGGAGAAACCTGACAAAGCTGGTGTAGCCAGGTGATCAAGGTGGGCGTGAATAGTGGGGATCACACTGACAGTACGTACCTGCCTTTGTTTCCTACGGCTGCCGCAGCGAGTTACAGCACAAATCTGCTGTGACAAATTAACAAACCCGATGGCTTAAAACAACAGAAATTTTTCTTTCACAGTTCTAGAGGCCAGAAGGCTGGAATCCAGCAGTTGGCAGGGTTGGTTCCATCTTGGGGGGCTCGGGGACAGACTCTGTTCCATGCCTCTCTGCTGGCTTCTGGTGGTTGCCTACAAAACCCTTGGCATTCCTGGTCTGTGGCAGCCTGGTTGCAATCTCTGCCTCTGTCATTACGGGGTGTTCTCCCTGTGTGTCTTCCTCTGCGTCTATGTTGTCTCTTCATGTAAGGACACTGGTCATTGGGTCAGAGGCCACTCTAATCTGTGTGACCTCATCTTAACTTCATTACATCCACAAAAATCCTATTTCCATAATAAGGTCACATTCTGAGGTTCCAGGTAGACCTGAATTTTGGGGAGACACTGCTCAATAGAGTACAGAACCCTGACACGATGTGGTGACAATGTCACATTATGCCTGTGGTCTTCTTCCTACAACTCCAGTCTAATCATGAGAAAAACATCCGAAAAATCTCAGTTGAGGATCATCGTTCAAAACAATTGACCAGTATTCCTCAAATGGTCAAGGTCATCGAAAACAAAAACAAGGACATTCTGAAAAATTGTCACAGCCAAAAGGAACCTAAGGAAGCATGAAGATGAAATGCAAGGTGGTGTCTTGGATCCCATCCTGGGACCACACACACACAAAAAGGGCATTAGGTAAGAAGGGAGGAAATCTGAGTGAAGCAGGATCTTTGGTTAGTAATAATGTATCAATATCAATTCCGTGCCTGAAAGTTGTTTTTTAAATACAATCAGAGAATTCTCTCCAACTGCTGGAGAAAATAGCTAGAAAGTTCAACTCTCCACAGCAGCTGAAACCAACATGGAATGTGGGATTTTTGCAACACTTTGAAATTTTTCCTTGCACAGGGTGAGAGCAATGCTTACAGCTTTTGGTGTCATCGTGGGGGTTACATTGGACAGGGAATAAGATGCATGAAGCTGTTTGAACTGTTTCTGTTTTGGTGTTGTCATATTTTCATTTCATTGGGATTAAAAGAATCAAAGCTAAGTGTGGTCGGGCCACAGCACAGGCAGATCCCCAAATTATGCCTAGGAATAATTTTAATATGAAATATATGTGACGTGTATTTTTGAATTTTAGACAAGACTTGCATTAGTTAGGATCACATGTGTTCTTGAAGTTGGCCGGTATTTTCCAGTTAATATATCAGGTTGTATTTCCAATTCTTTTAAAATGTAGGAAAATGATTCCAAAAGCATTTGAGAGTGTAAACAGGAAGGATATGATAAAAAAATTCTGAGAAAGGACAGTAAAGAGGGAGGAAGTAGCTCTATTGGTTCATAAATAGTTTTTAAAACAAGTTAACACAAGAGCAGACAACTAGATCAACGAAACGTTAGGCAGTCAGAAAATAGACCCTATGGTAGTCTTACCTTTTGTGAGAATGTCACATTCGTTGAGGGTCATTGGGATGGATGAAGGAAAGGATTACTTCAGAAATGGTTGTGAAGAATCCTGTTTGACTTGGACAGTGTTGAGGTTTTGACTGACATTGCGTTGTATCTGCAGATTTATTCAGAAAGAATGCAACTCATTAAAATACTGAATCTTCTGGTTCAATCATATTCCTAGTCCAATCAGTGCCCCATTCCCCTAGATGAGTAATTTATTGACTTTGCTGATGATGCTTGATAAATAGTCATTATTATGTTCACATGTGGCTCTTAATGTGCTGAGAGATATTTTCAAAAACATGTATTTAAGTTGAATTTTATCAGATTTTTTAAAAAAGTATTAATTGACATGATCACATTTTTCTTCTCTTTTAGGATATTAATTTAAGTTCATCACAGACTTCCACATGTTTAACCATCACTGATTCCTGGAATAAATTTCCCTTGCTCATAGTGTCATATAATTGGTATATACTGGTGGATTTATTGTTAATATTTTATTCGGGATTTTTATATGTATGCTCATAGATGAGAGTCGTTTATACATGGACTCACTGGCTTTGTCCAACTTAGGTTATGAAGGTCATATATAACCTTGTAGAATCAGTTGTGTAACTTTCTATTTTTGCACTCTAATTATTCAGATACCATAAGAATGATCCGTTCTTGAAGGTCTGAAAACACTCACCTACAAGACCATCTGATGCATTTTTCGGAGGTGTATTTTGTTTAGAAATAAGAAGAAAAAAGTTTTCTGTTTCATCTGAAGTTGGCTTTTTTTAAAACCTCTTTTTGAATCCATTTTGGTCATTTGTGGTAAGTGTTCATAGATTGCTGCTGTAACAAATTACTGCAAACTTAGTGGCTTAAAACAACACAAATTTCCTATTTTATAGAGATCTGAGTCTGAAATGGGTTTTGTGAGGCTAAAATCAGGTGTAAGCTGCGTTCCTGCTGGAGGCTCTGGGGAGAATCCATTCCCGTGCCTTTCCCAGCTTCTAGAAGACGCTTGCGTGCCTCGGCTCCCAGCCTCTTCCTCCATCCTCAAAGAGCATCACTCCAGCCTCTGCTCTGTCCTCACGGCTCTTTCAGACTTTTACCCTCTTGACTTCCTCTTTAGGCCCACCCGATAATCCAGGACAATCTTTGCATCTCAAGATCCTTAAATTAATCACATCTACAATGTCCCTTTGTCTCGTAAGGTTACATAGTCGTGGATTCCAGGGATTAGGACGTGGACATCTCTGTGCGGGGGGCATTGTCAGCATCCCGCATTCGCCATGTTCTCAACATGTCTCTGGCTTCCCTGCTTTTTTATTTTATTCAGGTTAACTTTTCACGTTCTAGTGGGTACTTGCTCAAGCAGCTGTTTTTCAGGAAAGATATGAAATGCATGCTTCCTGAACCTTTGCTTGCCATCATGTTTC